GGGTGGGGACAGGGGGACATCCCCCCGGGAGTGGGGACACATGGGGACATCCACCCGGGGGGCGGGGACATGGGGACATCCCCCCGGGAGTGGGGACATGGGGACATCCCCCTGGGGGGTAGGGACAGGGGGACATCCCCCCAGGGAGTGGGGACAGGGGGACATCCCCCCAGGGAGTGGGGACATGGGGACATCCCCCCGGGGGGGAACACATGGGGACATCCCCCTGGGGGAGTGGGGACAGGGGGACATCCCCCTGGGGGGCAGGGACATGGGGACATCCCCCTGGGGGGTGGGGATGGCCCCAAAGGGTGGGAATGTCCTCTAAGGGACATCGGGAATGTTCTCCAAGGGTGGGAATGTCCTCAAGGGCAGGAACATCCTCAAAGGGTGGGAATATCCCCAAAAGGGTGGGAATGTCCTCAAAGGGTGAGAATGTCCTCAAAGGATGGGAACATCCCCCAAAGGGTGGGAACATCCCTCAAAGGGTGTGGGAATACCCTACAAGGGGTTGAGGACATCCTCAAAAGGGTGGGAACATCCTCCAAAGGATGGGAATGTCCTCCCAGGGTGGGAACATCCCCCAAAGGGTGTGGGAATACCCTACAAGGGGATGGGAACGTCCTCAAAAGGGTGAGTGGAAGCATTCCCAAAATGGTGGGTGGGAACATCCCCAAAATGGTGGGTGGGAACATCCCCCAAGGGGCAGGAACATTCCCAGAGGGTGGGTGGGAATATCCCCCAAGGGTGTGGGAACAACCCCCAGAGGGTGAGAACATTCCTCAAGGGTGGGAACATTCCCAAAGGATGGGTGGGAGCCTCCCCCAAAGGATCAGAACCTCCCCCAAAGGTGTGGGTGGAACTTCCTTGTGTTGGCCAACATTTGGAGGGCGTTGGTGGCCTAAAACCCACCCCTGAGTGTTCCTTGTCTTGGCCAAAACTCGGAGAGTGTTGGTGGCCTGAAGCCACGCCCGGGCTCTCCTTGTGTTGGCCAACGGTCAAAGAGTGTTTGTGGCCTAAAACCACCCTTGGGTGCCCCTTGTGTTGGCCAACGTTTGCAGAACTTTGGTGGCCTAAAATCACCCTTGGGCGCCCCTTGTGTTGGCCAGCGTTTGCAGAACTTTGGTGGCCTAAAACCACCCTTGGGTGCCCCTTGTGTTGGCCAGCGTTTGTAGAACTTTGGTGGCCTAAAACCACCCTTGGGTGCCCCTTGTGTTGGCCAACGTTTGCAGAACGTCGGTGGCCTGAAGCCACTCCCGGTTGCTCCTTGTGTTGGCCAACACTTGACTGGAAGACGTTGGTGGCCTGAAGCCACCCTTGGGTGCTCCTTGTGTTGGCCAACACTTGGAGGGCGTCGGTGGCCTGAAGACACCCCCAGGCCCTCCTTGTGTTGGCCAATGGTTGAAGAGTATTGGTGGCCTAAAACCACCCTTGGGTGTTCCTTGTCTTGGCCAACATTTGATTGGAAGACGTCGGTGGCCCGAAGCCACCCTTGTGTTGGCCAACGCCTGGAGGGCGTCGGTGGCCTGACCACGCCCCTGACCCCACCCCCTGTCCCCTCCCCAGGTTACGTCCAACAACTGGCCTTCAAGAAACCCGACAACTCCTACGCCGCCTTCATCGGCCGCCCCTCCAGCACCTGGTGAGGGAGAGGGGCCACCAAAGCCCCCCTGGGACCGGGTGATATGGGACACGGGGGTCACCTCCCCAAGCCTGGGAACCCCAAACATCCCTCCCCAAAACCAGGGAATCCCAAACATCCCTCCCCAAACCAGGGAACCCCAAACATCCCTCCCCAAACCTGGGAATCCCAAACATCCCTCCCCAAAACCAGGGAACCCCAAACATCCCTCCCCAAACCAGGGAACTCCAACCATCCCTCCCCAAACCAGGGAATCCCAAACATCCCTCCCCAAACCAGGAAACCCCAAACATCCCTCCCCATGTCAGGGAATCCCAAACATCCCTCCCCAAACCAGGGAATCCCAAACATCCCTCCCCAAACCAGGGAATCCCAAACATCCCTCCCCAAAACAGGGAATCCCAAACATCCCTCCCCAAACCAGGGAATCCCAAATATCCCTCCCCAAACCAGGGAATCCCAAACATCCCTCCCCAAAACCAGGGAATCCCAAACATCCCTCCCCAAACCAGGGAA